TGGATGGATGGATGGATGGATGGATGGATGGATGGATGGATGGATGGATGGATGGATGGATGGCATCATGCAATTTTTTCTTGCTTTCCAATATTCTCACCTTTAAAATAAATAAAAACAACTTAAGGTTTATAACCCTAAAAAATAAGAGTGAGGCATGATGAAACTGGATTTTAAACAAACATGGAAAAAATATGGATTCTTTGGTTAATCTGGTGAGAAGTTTGATAAAGGTCTCTTTTCTCTGATACATATACTGATGCTGTCTGAGGCTGGTGAGATGAATTACATTTCTTTATTTTTATCTGTGGATATTTGGTACTGGTTATTGATTATGTTCTGTGCAGAGTTTCAGTTTCCAGCCATGGACATTAATGCCTGAGAGGGTCAAGTCCAGCAAAAAATAACTCAAGCAACTGAGGAGACATGCAGCTCTGTGTACAAAACAACACAAAACAGAATGCAGTTTGAATATTATTTTAAAGCTCCGTATAGCATAAAACATTGGTTTTATTGCCTGCTGCCACAAAAGTGTGATGTTTGTGTAATTACACATGTTTGTGTTTGTCTGTTAGTAAAATATCGCATGAACCATGTTTCAGTAAAACTCCCAGAACGTAATCATTGCATAAACTGTACCTCTGAAACTGAATGACCTTTGGAGTCAACTTTAAATATCTGCCACAGCTAACCAAATTTAGCAACCACAAAAACCACAATGACTCAGTCGGTTTTACAGTAATTAGACTGAATCTTTGTGTGGTAGTAGCTGAGAGTCAACCCAGTAACAAACTCTGAGCACTGAAAAATTGTCACCTTCTTGTTTTTGTCTTTATACTAGTTCCTTTGAGGAAGTTAAAATTTTTCATGTATATTTATGCATAATTAGTGTTGAAAATGGGATGGTCCAATTAAAGAAAAGGGAAAAAAAATCTGCAATATTGTCTATAACCACTTCATCCAGAAACACCCCTGAGGCTCAAACACATTATTACAATTTAAAAATCTGTAAATGTTTATTTTAAGCTCATTTTTTTTAATAAACCATGAGAGCTGAAAGCTGCTAGCGCTGTTTGTTTTATGCAGCTTACAGTTTATAAAAGACTTCTAAAGAAATGGTTGCAGTGGAACCACCAGCAGTATTTTAATAACGAACCTAATAATTAACTCCCACAAACCAGTGTTCCTAACAAGTCTGTTTTTATTCTTTGCAGGGAATTATTTTTTTACCTGGAAACAAAGTTACAGAACATCCAACCAGCGGTGATGAAGGAGGCAAATTTCTTTTTGAGGTCATTCCAGGTAAGATTAAAGCACTTTCATCCTTTTGGTCTTTTAGTCTTGAGGGAAAGTAAATGTGAATGGCAAAATGTAACAAATGGAACAAAAACATTAAAAAAGAGAGAGTGAATACCGACATTAAATAACCTTTGGGTTTTTGCATTGCATTTAAGAGGTTTATACTCTAAATTTGCAGTCTGTGAGGAAGGGTTTATTCAGATTTTACTAACTATAAAAAAGCTCACTATTATTAAAAAGTACATGAAGAAATATGCATTTTCTGCAGACAGCTTTTAACACTCACAAAGCTTTAAAGAGCAACGGAAAATGTGTTGTTGCAGTTCTTCCATGTGTTTTATTAGAAAAGGAAAAAGAAAATAGAGTTATAGATAACTTTGTCAACCTATATGAACAAAAGTAATGTCAAATACAAACAAATTCACATCAATAATCACACAAGCCTCATAATCTAAATGAACTGTAGACAGACTAGGCTAACTCCCATGGAATTGAAGGAGTGCTACAGTAAACCTTAATTCTTTGGTGCAAGGAGTAACAGTGTGTGTAAGAAGAGATTATTTATTTATTTATTTATTTATTTATTTATTTATTTATTTATTTATTTATTTATTTATTTATTTATTTATTTATTTATTTATTTATTTGTATTCTTGCTGGTCCAAGGCAAAGAGTAATGGATCTTGGTGTGTGAAGGGAACTTTATCCACTACAAGGAGCAATAGTGGAGCCAGGGGGTGGCCAATGGTGGCCCCGCCCACCGTAAATTAATCTTCAGCAACCTCAATCCTTTGAGGAAACTATACTTTTTAAGCAAAATAATAACTAGAAAACATAGTTTCCTTAAATGATTGAGGTGGCCAGTTTATAATAGCACAAAAAGTAAGGAAATGTGTGCTTGGTAGTTTATTTCTTTGTTGTAACAACACTTCTTGGCAGTAAATCTTACACCATACACCTGATTGGCAGCACCCCAGAAGCTCAAAATCAAGTGTCAAAGCAACAGCAAAGTGAGCTGTTTTTTGTGTGCACAACCTACCCACATACTCAGCTCTACTGCTCACCCACAAAAGAATGTTCCTTACAAATGTGGCACCATTTAAAAGGGAAGTTAATAGGCTTTCCAACGGTATAAGATTTATTTCCAAGAAGCATTGTAACAACAAAGAAAGAATCTACCAAACACACGTTTCCTTACTTTTGGTTTTAAATTATAAATATGGTGGTGGGCATCTTGGATTTTGACTTGGCAGCTATATCTTCAGTACACACACCAAAATGGAAGTCGGCACGCTGCTTCTATTTCCAAGTTATCCAGCTCACAAGACAGACGGACGTACAGAGAGGCAGCCATCTTGGATTTTGACGCGACCAATCTAAGTGACCGTCTGTAATTTTTACAAAAGCTTCTGCGTCAATAAATGTTTGTGTTTTACCTGGGAGCTCAGTGCCTGTAAGAGTTTTTTCCTCAGAGATGGACTTGTTGTGTTTCAGATGCTGCAAAGTTGCCGATCCACAGCGACACATTCTGTAGTCATTTAGTTCTAAATTCCGACATGCAGAGAGCGTTCCTTCAAACACAACTGAGCTGTTTGCCTCAGACGGCATCATCCTCTGCAGCCGAAAACAAGAACAAGGCTTGTTGTGAGACAGCTAATAAAGAAGCCTCAGAGATGCACGACGAGCAAAGGAAACAAAAACACAACTCATTTCTTCCACTGCTCTAAATGTGGCTCTGCAGTCAGAACGCACTGGCAGGCAGGCAGATGGGAAATAAGAGGGGGGGCTGCTGAAGCTGGGTGGAGGTTCGGGTCACACAGAGATGTCCATTGTCTCGTGGTGGTAATGATGAGGTTTAAACATGAGCTGGGTATCTGCTGGGGGGCCTGTTTTGAAGCAGCATCATGCTCTCAAACTGAAAGCCAGCTCTGTATTCTCAGCTGTGCAGGAAAGTTTTACTCTCTCTCTCTCTCTCTCTCTCTGTGTGACTTGGGGGGAAACAAAAGAAAAAAGTTTTCCGCAGCTTTTGTTCACCTGTGCTGAGAGCTCTCTGCTGCCGTTTCTGTTCCTCTCGCTTTTGTCTTTTTTGTGTCTCCACATCTGGTACTGAGCCTGCTGAAGTAAGAGACCAAAACTAACCGCGGGGCAAACAATATTTAGACTGGAATCATGCTCGTGGCTTTATTTATTTATGTTTTTTTTTAGAGCTGAAAATCCAGGTAGAGGCGCAGTGAGGCTTTTGTTTTTCTTACCTAAACCCAGACTTTGTTTTCCACAGACACAGACATGTTCCAACATGTGCAAGAACAAAGAATGCATTGATCTAACTTTCTTTGAGGCTCTGCTTCTGGCTTTAACAATTACTTTTAAAATTAAAGGCCTAGCATTCGTTGAAGGTGTGCTCGTTGCCCACCACATTTCGTGGCAGAGGTTTATACTAAGATCATCTTGTATTTTACTCAAACCTTGTAAATAACATTGTGCACAATTTCATGCAAATATGTAAGACATTGTTCTCAGGGTTGTTAACTCTCAGCTACTAACACATTAAATTTGAGCTCAAGATCTGCAAAACCAGCTGAGTTGTAGCCATTTTTGTGTTGGCTAATATCACTTATCTGTGGTAGCCATCCTGAATCAGATTGATTTCAAAGGTTAATCACTTGTAGCTATATATTTAAGCATTCGATTCTGAAAGTTTTATAGAGGACTGTTCAGAGGTTCATGAGATATTTTGCTAACAGACAAAACACTGATTCCAACAATAATGGAGTTTTTAGACAAAGATCTCTCACAATGAGTAGAACTTGGAATGTGTGCTGTAAAAGACTCTCAACTACTATCACACCCAATTTTATCATAATATCTGTAAAATTGAGCAGATTTGATTTGTCATTGTGTTTTCTGATGCCAGCTAGCTGTGGTGGCCATCTTGAATTGGGTTGACTCTGACAGATAATCATTTGTAGAGGTACAGCCACTGAACACTGCCTGAAAGTTTTATCAGAATCTGTCCACAGATATATGAGATACTGTAGTTTGCTAACAGACAGACAGGGTTGAGTTCAAAGAGGTAATGGCAAAACTTTAAATCAAATTCTTTTGATTTCTGTCAGTTTTCAGAATCTGTGTCAGGGATCAGTCTCAGCTACTACCACACCAAAATGTAGGCTGTTTTCTTTAAATCTGGCTTAATTGTGGTCATTTTGTGTTTTCTTAAGTTGAGTTGGTCGACTATCTGATTTTGTTTTGGTTTCCTCCTAAATTGAAACAGTTATAGATTTACATCTAATGATTACTTTCTGTAAGTTTCAACAAAATCTGTCCAGTGATTCATGAAATAGTTTGACAACAGACAGACACACGAGATGAACAAAAGAAAAAAAGAACACATGACTTTAAATATCCTGTTCAAGCTTTTACATATTTCCTGAGAGATCAAGTCCTTCTAGAATCCCTCACAGACAGGAGGAAAAGTTCAGGTAAAATTGGTTTTCTGACTTATTTGAAACACTTGCCAGAACTTCCTTCCTTCCTCGGGTTCACAGTTCACTTTTATCTGCTGCTTAATCCTCCAAAGAATGTCAGGAATCGTCTTAATGTGTCTGCATGGAGTGAGCTCTGCAGAGCAGAACGCCGACACAACCAGGCAACAACTAATTATAAATCCAGACCAAAAAGCAACGGCTTTTCATCCATTTTACCCACCGAAGCTGAATAAAAACCTGTTGCTGAATGTGACTTTCCAGCACCCAGCTGAGTAGTGATGTGTTTTTTGTCAGAAAAAACAAATACCCTCCCTGCTGCGTTTTTTGATGGAGAAACAGTCTGTGTGCTCCTGGCTTCAATAAAAGCTTTGGTTTTTTGTCTTTGCCTCAGGTCCTGTCGCCGGTATTTTAGTCTCTGCCGGTCGGACACATCTGATACATCAAATATGACAATATATCTCAGCTTGTCACCATCGTTTTTCAGTGAACCCTGCGGGTCAACTTATGGCCTCCTGCCTAAATTGTGTTTCCAAAGTAAAGCACCCAGGATTTATTTTAAGAACAGAAATATTTCCTCTTGTTTCAACTTCAAAGATTTTGTTTGGCTCAAGAGTGTTACTTAAAATATTGTGCAGGCATTTCCTCATTTTGAGTGTGAGTTGTGCAGAGGCTGTAACAGTCAGAGCCTAAATCTAATAAAAGGGTTATACTGCCCCCATGTGGTGGTGTTAGGTATAACAGCATCATCTGCTTTTAGCTTGGCTTTTTGCAAATATCTAGGAAATTCTAAACAAAAAAAAGTAGCACCATGTTTTTGTTTTGTAAAGTATTACTAAAAAACAATTTGTTCCATTTAGTCCACTCTTGTTAAAAATTGCCAAAATCGGTACATTAAAAACTGTGATTTAATTTGCATTTTAAAAACTCTGAATTGACTTTTTGCATCATTATCAGATCATTTATTAAAAATGGTTTAATAAAAAAAATGATCAAGTAAGTAAAAAAGTTTAAAAAACAGTTAATTTAAAAGGTTATTTAAAATTGCATAGAATACGATTGCCACTTTTAAAGGAAATATTGAATTGACATCTTTTTATAAGAATTTCAGTTCAAAGCTTCACATGCTTAACTTCTTTATTGTCCAGATGTAAATAAATCATCTGTGTCCCTTCATTTAAAAACTCAATTTGTGCAAGAAAACACATTATGCCTTTGTCTTGTGACTCTCTTTTGCCCAAAGCCATTAAGTGTAAGATATTGTGTAATTGCCTGTGTGTGTTTGTCTGCTTCAAATAAATATTTCCTAAATTGCTGAACAGATTTTATAAAAAGTCTCAAAAATTCATCACTGAATGTAGAGCTGATGGGCTTTTGGAGCTGATTCAGTTGAAGGTGGCCACCACAGCTAACCCACATTAGCAAAAAACTAAACTGTCTTTAACTCAGTAACTCTTACCAACTGTGAGCTCAAAATCAGTATGGTAGAAGCTGAGGCTCATCCTAACACATACTCTG